CAACTTCACATACCTTTTAATTCAATAATGTGATCAAACATTTACCTAATCTTATGCTTGTGAACTTGTTTTTTCTTACAAATCGCGCATTAATGGACCATTTTTAAACGCGTTTATTTTTGGGGGCTCTCGTTTTATATGGTAAAATGAACTTTTTTCTATGCTAGTCATGTATTATAACATGTTTCATTACATGAAATGTTTACTAGTTTGTAGATTTGCAGATAAGGTCGTAAGAATATAGCATACATAAAAGTCATCATCGCACACCAATATAATATGTGAAACAATGTCAAAGTTTCGGTCTTGTTTGTTGAATTAAATTAACTGTCAAATTTTTGATAATCGGGGCATCAAGGGTGCGGTCCCACACAGTGAAGCGCACCATAAGAGGGTGAGTCTAGTTGCACCTGAAAGATGTTTCATCCCAAAACCAATTAGTGATGGGACGAGTAGTCCACTAGACTTATAAACTAGACTCATTTACCCTATCAAATCAATGTGAAACAACTCACAATGATATTCCAACACACCCCTCTCACTTGTGAGTCATTCGTCAAACCAAGCCTACAATCAGACTAGGTAGATTTAATCATCACCATAAGTTCGAGCCTAGAACCAGGCCGGGTATATTTTTTAAATGGGTTCACAGGTCCCAAATTAGACCCGCTCTGATACCATGTCAGAAGATATGTGGAAAATTTTGTTTTGATCGATTAGATAGGGCTATATAAAGCCACATAAAACCTAATTACAAGATAAGAAAACTCACTAATTAAAGCCTATCAAACATTTACAGAATATATTACAAGATATATACAAATATTATAACAATGATAAAAGATATGTGGGAAAACTTGTTTTGATCGATGATTGGATAGGGCTATATAAAGCCACTACCTGTTTTATATATATCGTTCATTTTTACTAATAACAAAAAATTTTTATATTGCGTATTTATGTATAAATTATAATATCTTATTTATATATGTGCATATACATATCATGCAGTAGCACTATAAAACTGGATAGTTATTGTTTGACTATTTATTACTAGAGTCTAAAAATTTACATTAGTGTCTAAGGTAAGATTTTTATCCAAATGTAGGGTGTGTTTGGTAAACCTAGCTGATAAGCTAGCTGATAACTTATAAGCTAGCTGGTAGCTGATAAGCTATAAGCTAGCTTATATCTTATAGCTTATGATTTATAGCTGAAAAACTAACTTATATGATAAAAGTGTTTGGTAAAACTAGCTTATAAGCTAGCTGAAATAAAAAAGTCAACTAACTTATTTTGAAACGCTACCTAAACAAGCTTATCAAATAAGCTCGAGCTTTTTAAATAAGCTCGTCCTACCAAACGGGGCTTATTTAAACAGACAGCTTATAAGCTAATCAAATAAGCTATAAGCTAGCTTATTATACGTGTCAAACACACCCTAGACTAGGGCATATTGAAGGCTTTTTACTGGGTTTCAGCCAAGTTTTTTGGCTGTTTAACCAAAGTTAGTTGATACCCCATATCTTATTATCAGTATATTTAGAACCAGTTTACATTTGATGGTTATTTTTGCATATTTTAGTTTACTTATATCATTTATTTTTACTTTAATTATAAAAAGTGTGAAAAACTTAATTAAAACACAATTAACAATATAAAATTTAGTTTTTATTAACATAAAAATAATTACATAGATATAATGGTTATTTATTGATTTCTGATCAGTGTTTATACTTGAATAAATAGCGGGTTGATAATATCAAATATAATGTTTCAAATCAATCAACAACTTTTATCAATTACATTTTTTTTTTTATACAAAAATT